CGTGTTTAGTGGGTCCCCGCGTGCCTTCCACTTTTCTAGGTGAGAGGCTCCTCAGACCCCCCCCCAGCGCAGCGCTGTCAGTTCTCGTGCTGAGCAGCCATTCAAAGCATGCTGCCCGGCGCCGAGTGTCAGCTTGAGGTGGGCTGGGGGTATGGCTGTGTAGGAGCTGCATCCATACGTGCATTGGTTACAGCTCCCTCGCGTGTCCTGTAGAGGTGTCTGGACCGGAGTGACGTCACATTCTGGCTCCCGGCACCTCTACAGGACACGCGAGGGAGCTGTAACCAATGCACGTATGGATGGAGCACCGTCGCAGCACAGCAACCCACACTGGACCCCAGGCTGAGGATCCACTCCAGTTGTCAAAAGGTAGGGACACTGGGGATCTTAAATAAATAAAATATGTGTGTGTGTGTGTCAGTGTCTTTGAGGGCCCATTCACACTAGTACTGTGCGTTAATTGCACAGTCCCATGCGATTCAGCACTCTGTACCATGCAATCGCACCTACCGCAGGTTCTGGTGCCGGAGGTGCCTTGCCATTTGCATGCACCGGATCGTGCGGTACTGCAATGCCGTGCTTCACAGTGCGGTACGCCACTGGTTGTGACCCAAGTCGCAACAATCGCCATAGCAACCTAGGTTGCCGCTATGGGGCCCGGCCAGGGCATCCCTCTGATGCCGCGCGAGCCGCCTAGGTCGCTATGGCATATCAGGGTGCTGGCTGTGACTGGCGGCTGTGAAGAGGAACGCGCCGCTGTTAGATCGCCGACAATCTGTCAGTGATGTGCGCAGCGGGCGCGTTCTTCCTCCACAGCCGCTGCTGAGCTGTGACAGCCAGCTGCTTCTGCAGAAGAGGCTGGACCCGGCGTTTGCCGTGGAGGAGGCGGGGTCCGGGGACAAGAGGAGGCGGGGCCCGGCGACCACGGAGGTGGACAGTGCTGAAGAGGTAAGAGGTGTGCAGCCCTCCTGAGACCCTGCAGAGCCCACCATAGAGAGTCTGTGGTGGGCTCCGCAGGGTCACTCTCAGGTGGGCTGTTTGGTATATCAGGTGGGCTCTGCAAGGGGTATAACTAGACATCACAGGGCCCCATAGAAAATGTTGCTATGGGGCCCTGAGATTTCTAGTTACGCCCCTGGTCACAACTTAATGACCAAGGACAAGTGGTGGGTCCTGAGGTAACGCAGGTTGAGAACCGCACTGCTCTGGTGGATGTCTGTATATCCAGCAGGGTGCTTGGCATTGTCGGTGTACTCCTCAGTTGGCACAATCGTTGTACAGCACTAAGTATCCTAACCTCCTTCTCTCCTATTGCAGGAATTTGGCCATCCTGGGCGCTGGTCTGATGGGAGCCGGGATTGCACAGGTCTCTGTAGATAGAGGTCTAAACACTATTCTGAAAGATACGACGGTGGAAGGGCTGGGCAGAGGACAGCAGCAGGTCTACAAAGGGTAAGAGAGACGTTTGTACATCCGACACATAACATTTCTCATCTCTAGACTACTGGACAATAGGTGTGTCGGTTTTGGTGATGAGAAGGGCTTGGGGTCCCCAATGTAAAGTGCTGCAGAATGTGTAATGGCCATTTCCTATACATGGAATAGTGAATGGGCGATCTGTAACGATGCAGCAGGTTACCCTTTATGGATGCATTGAAGAGATCGTCGGTATGTTACTCTATACCAGGGGTAGCCACACTCCGGCCCTCCAGCTGGTATCACCGGCAAGGTTCTACCGCTGTAAATGCTGTCAAAGTCCAAGGTGATGCAACCTGCCCTTATCTAATTTTGCAATGCATGCTGGGACTTTGGCATTTATTTGTATTAGGAATCCTCCCCCCCCCCTCATGTCTGGGTTCTGTTGTGTAGAGGGATCTTTGTCGATCAGAACTGTCCAAGTGTGGTTG